TTCAACTTCATTTGGGAAATGATTTATGGTCTTTTCATTACCGAAAAACCTCTTCACACCTGTGGAAAATATGCTGAGGCCAAATTAAATGTAATTGAAATCATTTGGAATCGCCAGCAAGAGTCTGGCATGCCGTATTTTCTAAGCAGCTAAATCGATTTTCAATTTTTCCCGAGAGACAGGCGGGGAATCGGCAATTGAACAAATTGTTGAAAACAATTCCACAATGCGTGGAATTTGTTGCTTACAAATTTTGTTATTGCCTTTGCCGCTCTATTCATTTGCGTTGCGCATTTCAATAATCATTTATCTTATCGATCGCCTCGATTATAAACACCAGCGTGCCGAGATCATAAATTTTCGTCGTTGCCGAAATGAGCTTCATTATGGGCATGAGATTCCCTTCGTAGGTGCGTATATTGTATAAAGTACGATATTAAGATAGATTCTGCAGTGGCTTACGCCACGCAGCATTATATGTGGTGTAGTGAACCCTGAATCCGAATCTACACCACGTTTCTTTGGACCTGGTACTTAAATTGCTATCGGACATAAACTTTTCTTCCGAGCCTTTGATACACGGAGCAATACCAAGAAAACATAGATCTTAGGCGAGTTTGAAAGGTGGGAAGACAGGGAAATATTGCCTAGCGAATCTCCAGTCGCTAAATATATTGTGTAACTCTCTTAAGCAGACCCAGATTGCCGAACTCCATAGTAAAACAACCATCTGGTGGACATCATACCTAAGTAAATGGTCATGAGAAATGTGTATCTCAAAGTATATTGAAAAAAATATATATGACAAGAAATTGTAATAAGCACTTTTAAAAGTGAATACATTTGAAAAAGTGTATATTTAAGATAGAAAGCACATCGCAGGACCACAAGCTATCTATAGAAGGGCTACCCAAACTCCCGTAACTCCAATTATCAGAACCCAGTGAGTAAGAAATAGAACTGCCTGCGGTGTGGGATAAAACGAGTTGAACACAAAGCTTTTGCAGCGATAGCTGCAATGACTTCCGATCAATCAATTAATTCTGAGGAAACCCGACTTCTTTGTGTTCCCAACTTCTGTATCCATGCACTCGCTCTCCACATGGAACCCCTCTTGGTGGCAGCTGTGCTTCTCCAAGGACGCATCCTCATCTACGGCGCTTTCCATCGTCCTGCCGCACGTCAAGCCACAGGCCCACTTGAAGCCACCGGATTGTGTGGTGTTTTTGGGCGGATCCGGTGGTTTTCGCAGTTCGGTTCGATTCGCGAGAAGTGCGCCCAGCACGAGTTAAAATTTAATTTAGTGAAAATAATTTGCTTAGCCGTGCTGCAAAATTGCATAATTGTCAATGGCGGTGGAACGCCTCTCCACTCCACTCCGCTCTCCCCCCTCTAATGAGTGGTTTGCGGCGCCATTTTGAGGCACCATCACATCTGCATATTGGAAAATTATAGCTTTGAGCCCCGAGTGCGACGCCTGCCACAACGCGAATCTATAGCACCGAATGCCGAATGCCGAATGCCGAATCCCGCTCTGCTCCTGGCCTTTGTTTGCTCTAAAAGCCTGGCTGCGGCTGCGCAGAAGTCCAAAAGCGCGTGGTTCGGCGCATGGTGAGGCGCAATGGGGGGCGATCGTTCTCGACGACGCCGACGACGAGGTGACCTCCAGCCGAGTCATTGCGGCAAGGACCTGACTCGAAACTGGCAGGCAGCACATACAACTACTGGAGAGGAGGTCTCGGGTTGAAGGGCAGAAGCTGTGAATACTCTGATATTTGGTGCACTGGGCGATTTCAACGGGGAGGCAAAGATTTCAACTTCCTAGCAAAACGCCCGACTAATTCGGGCAGTGTAAGCTCAATTACAACGAACGAGTGACGTAAGAGATCGTAATATGATCACATTTCGTTCCTGATCAGAGTCGTTCTACACACATATGGGTATATTTCTATAATTATTTGTATTTAATTATTAAAAGTATATTTTACAGTACTAAAAGAAAGGACGCAGTTTTGGTTAAATCCCATAACGGTTCGTCAAATATTTATAAATATTAACAAGCATCCCCCTTTGCCCCTGATAATGAGCTGAAAAACACTATTTTTAAAAGGTTCTTAGGCGAAAGAACAGAGCGAAACACTTTTGCCACAGCATCTGTGGCCACTGAAGAGCATCGCATCCTGACCGTAGAAGGTGGCAATGGAAAATGTATTCGAAATTGCAAATTTTAAAGCCCATGCCAAGTTTTATTTTAATAAATAACATAAATAATAATAATAAAATAAGTTTAATTGCAAAAACATTAACTGGTTCTTAAAAAAACCTTTCAGATCCTTAAATGTCGAAACTTACAAATAATACATGAAGGACATCCAGCAAGGAACGTTTTTAAGGCTCTTAATTTTGTTTAATTTAATTTTTTCTTTCAACAGAAAAACTCAGCGCCGCATGCGCCGCTGCAATTATTTCGTTGCCATAAACCCAATACGGCGATGCTCCTATCTTCAATTTCTACCGCAAATGCCGCACAGTAGCAGAAAAGCAATTCGGCCATTCAATTTATATTTTAGTACAGGCTTTAACGTGCCCCACGAGGCAGTGGCAGCGATTTAAGCGGCTTTACTGCTTATAGTTTGTGCTAATTAAGTTAGTTCAGTGTTTTCCATGCCTTTCTCCGAGCTTTGGCTATAATATTTAATGATATTGTTCATCACAGGAGTATTTATTTACGTACGTCAACGGATACTAATCTTAAAATATGTACGCCTTTCTCCAAGCGCTAGCTATAATATTTATATGTATGTTTTGGATCATTACAAAAATCATAATATTTATTATTATTTATTAATATTTATTTTTTATTTTAATAATTTGCCTACGCTAACGGATATTAATCCTAAATCTATTTGAGACAATCAAAATATACACAATGAGTTTCAAAGGGAAACCTGTTTCATGTGATCCGGTGGAACTCTTTGGTAGAAGTGTTCCGGAATACTTCTATTGGAACACATGTAGAAGCGTTCCACGAAGCGGTTACAGACTTACACTGCTAACCACCTTAGTGCACTTTTACCAAAGACATGGAATAGATTATATTGGACTTTCCAATTTCGCTATGCGGAATACCTTTTTCAGGGCACATCTAGATTAATTCCGGGAAATGCAACTTGCAAGAGAACTGCTTCGGAGTTTCACGTAAGACAAGAAAAGTCACCATAGTGATGGAATATATTTCTTAAATGCTACTAACTCCGCCCTTAAAAAGTTCGCTTCGTTGTAATCTTGTTTGCAATAAGTAAAAGTAAAACTGTGCGATTTCTTCTACGTGTAGTGGAAACACAGTAGAATTAAAAGGTTGCCATTGAAATTGAATTTGAGTCGATTCCATTCGGTAAATTCAGCATGATTTCAGTTAAAAAATTGTATTTGCGAGCTTTCCCTCTATTATTTGAATTACAATTTTGCGGACAAAAGCTTTAATGAAAGTAATCGAAAGCACACATCTGTCGCATAAAACATAAGTAAACATTCATTTCGTTATTTTCCTAGCGCCCTCTGGTAACTCTAAAAATACAGGCACGCCTATCGATACCGCGACTGGCCCCACGTATCGAAACATCGATTGGCCACAGCTGCTTGTGAATGAAAAAAGCGTAAAATCTAATCGTAAAACAAATTCGCGAAAAAGCATTGCCGCCCGCCTGGCAGATTCACAGGCCCGAGGACCGATACACAAGCGGAGGAGCGAAGAGGCCAGGAGGCCCAAGCATAGCCAGCCAGGACAAAAACGAGTCGTTCGTCCTTTCCACCGGCACACAATGGAGCTACTATAGTGTGTGTGTGCGAGAGTGCGGGCGTGTGTGTGTGTGGTTGTAGTAGTGGGCGAGTGCGTGTAGTAGTAGTACGACGAGTGTTGTGGCGACGGGGAAAACAAAAAGAAATCTAGTTTTTGCTCGAGACTTCGGCTGGAAACCCGGCAGCGATGAGTGCGTAGATGTAAGGTGCGATCGCTGATGAGCCATCACCACTTCCCGGCGCTGGAGGCAGTGCATCCAACCGGAGAAGTTGAGGGACACTAGGCTAGCGGGACAGAAATACGGCCACATACCGATTCCGATCCCGTAATGCTGCTGGCCGCAGCCGGTCTGCCGGCCTACGACGCCGGAAAGCTGGCCAGCAATGCCGGATCCGGCTCCAGCAACGTGGGCTCCGGCGGAGTGGGAACGCCCACGGCAGCCGCATCGCGTCCCAGTGCCGCTAGTGCCCTGATGAAGACCCTGTCTGTGCGCTTGCATCGAGGAACCGAGTTCATTAAGGACACCGTTCAGAAGGCCCTGGTCATGTCTGCTCCTACGCCTGTGGCCCCAGCTACAGCTCCTGCGCCCAAGATTGTGGACCACAGCCTAAAGCGGAAGCTTAGCGGCGCTGGCGGTCTGATGGGCTGCAGCAGCATTGGCAGCACGACCTCATTTATCCCTGGCAGCTCGAGAAGCCACCACCATGCCCTGACCAGTCAGGTGTCTTCGTCACAGGTGCTTCCTTTGCCCAGTCAAGTGCCCACAGCCGCCTTTCTGCGCACATACACGGTAGCTCCCACGGCACTTCATCGATCCGCCGCCGCTCGCAAACGGAATCCCAGCACCGACAGTCTTCTTATGGACCTGTGTCTCTTTAAGCCCATTCGGCCCATGCCCATAACGCCAATTAAAATGTGAGTACTCTTCGATATTCGAATCCAAGAAGTTCCGTAGTATAAAATGTGCATTTTGCCACACCAAAGTTATACAAATAAATCTGAGGCGGGCAAGTCATCGGACTCACCAATAAGTAAACCAATTTCTCTACATATTCACCCCATTGACTTGATGGTTTTGGATTTTTGAGTTTTTGCAGACCTCTGGATTGTCCTAGTTAAGATTTGCTTGTTTACGATCTTGATTTATTTCGCATATCCAACAACATGGTTCATCTCTTGAGTGGTTTTTAGTCTGGACTGCTTAAGATTTGAGATTTAATCTTCTTTGTCAAAAAACTTGGCACTATCACTCTGTACGATCCTGATGCGTCCGTACTTTTTTAATTATATTTAAGTTTTAAACTAACATTTGCATACCGAGGCCAAGCCAAATCATTATACCTAAATGGTTATTCCGCCACATGTAATATATAAAAAAGATTATCAGAAATGACCGAAAATTACCGAGATTAAAACAAAACATTTTACTTACGTGTTGTATCGTTGATAGCCACAAATTCCGCGGCTTTGAAATGAAGAAACCAAAATTTGTACCAACTGCAAGTCCAGACAGCGAAGAAGATGAGGCAGACGAAGAAGATGAGGAGGTCCGCAAGCCAAAGCTCAGGTAAGTGTCCGGTCATTTGAATGTTAAAATGTACATATGTCTAATGAATGTTTTCTTCGCATAGCAACTTGACATTGCCAACAATGGAGGGCTCGGCCTTCGTTCCGATGCCCTATATAGAAACCACCAACACCGCTATTAACGCAACCACCACCACCACCAGGAGCAGATCCCGCTCCCTCAACACACACACCTCAGGCTCTGCAGAGGCCATTACAAAGCCAAAGCGTCGTCGTCGCGCTCCCATGCTCACGGCCAAAAGACGACGCAAGGCGCTGGATACGGAATTAACCACTTCAGCAGACGGAGGAACTGAAGACAAAGCTCCTGCCAAGCGCATAGTGCCGGCAGCACGTGGAGGATCCAAGCGCAGTCGTGGAGAATCGATAACGGCTTTTACGCCAGCGGATCCAATCAAATCGCCAGTAGCGATAAATACTCCGACCAAGCGCAAAGCATCTTCTAGAAGTGAAGCTACAAAACGTAGTCGAGTAGTTTCTGTGCAGAACGCCTCTGTTCTCACAGCGACATCCGCCACCTTAGCAGATTCAATCCGTAAAACCGCAACCAAGCGTAAGGCAGCTAATGAAAAGGCCGTCAAGCGCAGTCGAGGTTCCGCAGCATTGTCTGCGCGTCCTTCCCCGCCAATGACACGTCAGAGGGCTCGTCAGCAGATCTCCGCCAGCAAATAAGGTCCAAAAAACTTGGATGCTCGCTCATTGGAACGTGGGCCACTATGGCAAAGCTAGAAAAACAAAACAACACTGGGAAAGAGTCGCGTAAGAGATTCGCTAAGTTCTAAGTCTTTCGGTTCTAGTTACTGTTTATGTGTACGTATTACATATTTCATTTGAAGTAGGTGGAAATGTAAGATAAGCCATTAATAATGTAAAGTACATGTAGTTCAACTCGTTTTGTATTATTCGTGAGAAAGCATGAGTACTTGAGTTTCAACAAGCAACTTTAATTTGTTTGGGTACAGGTTTTACAGAATTCTGGCTTGGTCTTCAAGACTGATATAACAAAAAGCATCTTCTACGAATAAATATGATACAAAATGATATAAGAAAAACCAATTTTAGAAACCTATGTCTAACCCTCATCAAGCAAAAAGTATTAAATGTATAAAGAAACTAGTTAATTTAAGTCATTCCTGATAATAATGTTTCAACCAAAACTGTTTGTCAACATATTGATATGTTAGTTTTGACCCTTTTTTCCAATGAATGTACAAACAACTTTTTCGGTTCGTTTAATTTATGTGCTTGCCTTTGAGGCAGGTTAGTAAGAATGTATGGAAAGAACAAGATGATAAAAAACGCCACAACTACAATTAATTTTCCTACTTTAGTTAAGTTTGTTACAATTTATGGCTCAGAGACAAAGTAATCAATTCACACATACATGTATAAATACATACATGTAATTCTAACTTTATCTAAACATACGATCTATCTGTAAGAACAGCAATGACATAAAAATATTGAAAACTATATATAAAAAACATGCCGGTCGAATCAACTGTGTGTTGTGATATGAACTAATTTATAAATCAAAGCAAAAGACAAGCAAGACCCCTTTAAATTGAATTGCTTGACTCAGACAACACCGAAAAACTCAACCCCAATTTAAACCCTTTATATTATTAAGAAGTAGAGTTGGAAATTTAAATTTGCAGAACTCCAAAATGTTTAAAAATTCGCCCTTAAGTAAGGAGTATTTCAAGCGATTCCAAACGAAAGCAAAATTACTTAAACACACAGCGAGTTGTATGCGTCAATAAAATAACTACAAATTAATGCAATTGGTAATTTATTGTTTAAAAGATTTTATGGAACTGAACGTGTTACATCGGCTAACAGATACACCTGTCCTCCTCCTGGTTCATCAAAATTTATATGCCTACTCTCGATTTGCTCTTACTGAAATACTATCGCAATGGAATCGCAAGCCTAGTTATACTCGCTTGATTCATAATTTCTTATTTTATTGCAATGACAACGAATGAACTTTATTTATTCCATCGTTTCCATTTTGGTGGGCATAACGTTCCATAGGTCTTGTAATTTGTAGCCATCCCTAATTGGCTCCATGGCAAAGCCCAGTTCCTTGCAGTAAAGCGGATCTCTTTCACCCTGACTGGGGACCTTTCCCAAACAGCCCTCGGCGAGGTAGCTGTTGAGCTTGGTGTTGATCTCCCGCTCCTGCCGCTCGTCCAGCTCCTCAAAGTTATCCACCTCGAACTGGGGGGCTTGTGCAGCTTCCTCGGCGGCCGCTTCCAACCGCCGCCGGGCGTCTTGGGCATTGTAATTGATGCCAAAGTTGGCCTGCTCGCCATAAGTTGCGTGCAGCGAGCAGAGCTCCATGAACAACTCGTTTAGACGCTCGGCAGGATCGACGCGGAATCCGAGCACATATCCTCCTCCCGTTTCCGCTGTTTGGATTACCAGCGCAGGTCCGTACTTGGACTCCCGAACGCGAAGCTGTCGTGAGAAGTTGCATGTAAGTTAATAAGGAATTTTCAAAACTAGTATCGTTTCGCAGTCTAGATACATTACACTTTCAATTTGTAAATATGGCAAACTGATGTTGAAGGTCTCGTTGGCATCTGCAAACCACACCAGTCGAATATTGGTTACCACGAAGCTGCCCAGGTTTCCCTGATCGCTGGACAAATTCCACACACCCTGCACATGGCTAAAAACCTGTTCATCTGGTAGAATAACCAACTGACCCGCTTGAACGATGGCGCCGCGCAGTTTCAGGTCGCGGTAGAGATAAGTACGTTGATATAGGCTGAGAAAACATCAATTTAAACACATTTTTGTATTACACTGATCCCTATTTATCTCACTGATAGACATCAAACACGCTGGCGAAGATCGGCTGATCGCGACGCGACGTTTCCCCGGATACGTCGGTGAAAAGGAATTCAAAGCGGGTCTCATTGCTTATTGCCAGGATATAGAGCGCCTGACTGGCTATCCTTGCTTTGGAGTGCATATGAACTATCCGAGTGTTGGTGTTGCCAATCCGAGCATATCCAATGGCTTCTTAGGGAAATTCAATGTCAAGTTCATTGCAGGGTAACCAGAACTACTAGCACTTACATAGATTGTATTTCTTGTGGACCAGCGAGTGCCATATAATCCGCAAATTGGTTACTATCAGACGACCCGTGTCCCCCGGATTTCCTTTGCTGTCTTCGATGTGGTAAATGTAATCGAGTGCCCGTTCGCCGCTCCGCAGATTTTTGTGTCTGAAACGAATGTATCAATTGATGCTCCAAAAAACACTTGAATATCCGTTTACTTACAGTTGGGGTACATCAAATTTGACCTCCTTGTCCTCCCAGAGCAACTGCAGCTGGGGCTGTCGGTTTCCTTCGATCGGAGCTAGCGACTTCAACATTTTTCTAGACAGCTAACGGCTTTGCTTGGGTATTAATCCAAACGGTTGCTAGGTGACCTTTAGTCCAAAACTCAACCGCCAATCGAAAATCGAAGAACTCATCGAAGAGTAAGTAAATCGAATTAGCCAAGACAACATTGAGTCCAAAAAGCATTGATCATACTTTAACTAATTTTTAATGATTCAGATAACCGCTAACTTGGTCTTGAGAAAGTAAGTTTCAGAAGAACCTCTTTAACTTAATATAAAAGCAAATCATTAGGAAAAACATCAAAAAGTAGAAAAAGGCCAACTATATCTTAACTTGCCGTTTGCTTCCTGTTTTCAATAAAAGACCAATCTTTTCATTTTTTAAATAAGTATGTAATATATTTCACTAACGTATAGAATTTAGGAGTATAACTAATGCTTCGCGTATTAAAGTACAAAAACGTTCAAATGATTCGTTTACGCTTAGACTATAAGTCAGATTTTCCACCTTCGTCAGAGAAGGACAAAGAGTTATAGCTTATAAATAGTTAGCAACGCTAACTGCTGGAAATGTTTTTCATATTTTTCATAGTGTCAATATTGCAAATCGTAGGTGAGAGCATGAAAGCAAAAGGCACCTTTACACTTTATACTTTATACAAAACTGAACAAAAATAGATTGTATTTACACTTTATGAATTGGGTCACCGACTCACATTATGATCTGCGGTTCTGGAACACTGGCCGCAATGCTTTTATGGGGCAAGACTTGACCTCCATTAATGTAAAGCTCATCTTTCACGATTACATCCTCGCCTAGCACGGTGATGCCTTCGATGCGAACCCAACGGCCAACAGTAGAACGCCAACCGACGATGCAGGAGTCCAGCCACGAGTGTGAGTGAACGATGGCGCCTTTGAGGATGGTCGAGCGCTTAATGCAAACGCCATCCTCGATAACCACGTCCGGTCCAATGGTTACATTTGGCCCTATGCGACAACCCTCGCCAATCTTGGCCGTGGGATCCACCAACACGTTCCCCACCACGCCAGGGCCAGTGTACAGCTTGGGGGATTGCTTCTGGCGTAGCGAGCTTAGATAGAGACACATGCCTGAAATGAAATAGAATAGAATGCCGCAATAAGTAAGGCGATAAAGTTCTCAATCCCATTCAATGGCTTTCACTTTCAACACTCCAGTGAAATGAAATAAACATTTAAGAGGCAGACTAGTGCTGAGATAGTTCACATATTTGGTTTCAGTTACTTAGATCTTATGGAATTACAAGCGTACAAAGAGAAATAAGATTGCATCCCCAATATTAATTCGCGCAAAATGTTTTATCGTCACAGTACATGTATTCACCGAACCCATTAAACAATTCACCCTTATGCTCGGTTTCTCCTAGCGCCCACTATCAGCCTAATGAGCCTCACTTCATTTAAACAGAAATCGCTCTATCAAACATTTAGCTATAGTTTCAGGAAACTCAAAAATAGATAAAGCCCAAAGCCGGGTAGGTAAAAAGTCACAGCACAATTAACAACGACATCCGCGTTTGCTTTCAAAGCGATAAGACCAATTAGGCAATCTAGATTGAGCGAGCGAGGTATTCAGTCAGGCGTACCGGTTAGAAAGTCTTTTGGTTGTCCGATGTCCATCCAGAATCCAGTTAAATCCATTGCATACAACTCCTGTTGCTGCGCCATTGCAGGAAATACCTCCTTCTCTATTGATGTGGGCTTAACTTCGATCCGGTCAAGCACGGAAGGATTAAAGATGTAAATGCCAGCATTTATCTTATTGCTAACAAACTCTTGTGGCTTTTCAATAAAGTTGTTGATGCAGCCGTTCTCATCGTACAGCACAACTCCGTATTTTGATGGTTCTTCGACCTTAGTGACAACAATTGTGCCTTCTTTGCCGTGATTACGATGGAATTGCACTAGTTGCTTGAAAGGAAAATCGCAGATAACGTCAGAATTGAGTACGAAAAATGGCTCTGAACTGGCTGCTAAAATAGTTTTCGCTAGGGCTAGAGGTCCAGCTGTTCCCAGGGGTTCCGTCTCGTGGGAGAAGATCAATTCCACGCCCAGTTTTTTGGCTTCGACTTTTAGCTCCTTTTCCATTTGTTCGGCCCGATAGCTGACGGCTAAAATAACCTGCAAGGAAAAAGTATCCATCAATTTGGGCACATACAATCCATGATTTCAAAAAAAAAATAATAAGTAGACAAATTGAGTTGCTTTTAAGCGTATTATGTAACCGTCTTCCATAATTATGCCAAACGAAAACCATATGGTACAAGATTAACAGTTTTCACACATCCATACTAGTTTTAAATAACCTTTGTACAAATATGTAGTATGATTTGCCATATTTCCATTCAACTAAACAATGCGGCAGTTTTGGATTAATTTTTAAGCAGCGTTAGTCTAGAAACTGGGTATACCTGACAACATCCTGCATCGACGAGTGCCTCCAGTTGGTGGAGAAGAATCGGCTTATTGGCGAACTCCACCAGGGGCTTAGGCGTGCTAAGGGTCAGGGGTCGCAGCCGGGTCCCATAACCCCCGACCAGAATCAACGCCCTCGTCCCGTTTCCCACAGCTGGATTTCCACACATCTCTTCTCCACTTCCGTACCGTTCTCCGGTTTTTATCGTCCGTAAGCGAGCGACACGTCAGACCTCAAAGTTCTCGAGACTTTCTCTGCGCAACGAGATTCCGTTTCGGCGGACCAACAACTGCAATCGATGAAGGCGAGTGAGTAACTCAGTTTGTTTTGTTTAGTTTTAGTTTACTCACCTTGTTGCGCTATCTATGTACTTGTTGTTTTTTTTTTTTTTTTTTGTGATAAGAACCTCTGTGACTCTGGTTGGATGCACTTCCCTGTCCTGATTTTCACTTTCCTGTCTTGATTTTGAAAGCTGAAGATGGTCGTTTATGAGGCTTAGGATAACTGAACTAAAAAATGAACATTAAGTTTGTTCTTTTATTTTATTATTATTTGTTTTACAAGTAAACTAACCGCCCAGAAAAGTAAATAAAAACCGAGCTGGCAAAGTAGGGATGACACTATCGAAAGATGGCAATGACTACATTCGGTTCAGTGGGAGTCTGGGTCTGATAGCCGGAATCCACCGAACAATTTTCGCTTACTTAATTAAATTACTCCGTAATAACAGCATAATTGGTTATACATTAAAGTAAGTAATGTGTGTGAATAACACAATAGTATTATAGACAGTAAAACGATTTGTAATAAAAAAATGGCTTGTACGGTTTCAACGGCAATACCGTTTTGGGTATTCCCTGAATTATTAAAAATTTCACAAAGAATTTAAAAATTCCTAGAATTTACAGATGAAATTCAGCATGTTTTAATTTACCGAACTATTCCGTAATACGGTTTTAACTCAAAATTAATGAATGTAACTATTTAGCAAGATAATACGATAATAATTATTTTATATTATGCCGAAGATATCGGAAAACCCGTAATACATCGTTCACAATCAAATAAAGTCGATAAGCTCACTCAACTATCGTTTCACACGATAAGCATTCCCCATCGGTATCAATGCTCGAAGTCGATAGTCGATTCGATAACGCGTTAGGAGTTAACGTTGCAAGCCGCGGTCACACTGGTGCGCATTGTTTTCCGTCGCGTGTGAAAACTGCCGAGTGTATAGAAACTGCAAATTAAGAGAAAACTTCTGCAATTCTGAAATTGTTGAAAGGTAAGTGAGCCTGCTGTGAACGCCTTCGAGACTAAAAAGGCGAGACTGCAAAGGCGAGCCTAGATCGATTCGAAGAAGTAATTTCACCAGGGTTTTTGGGGGCTCCGAGCTCAGACGAGATACACATACGCACACATACACACGCTTACGTTTCAAATAAGCACCAGCGAGACGGAAAACAAAATGTCGACCGTTTGCATTTTCCTGTATTACTTTTTCCGCCGATCTGCCTATCAAACTCTTGAAAAATCGTGGCTCAATTGTGTTTTACCCATTAGAATCTTCCAATTCAGTGACAGCTGGGTCTGAGTGCCCTTTTTTCTGAGGGCAATCTCGCAATATTGATTTTTACAATGGCTGCCAAGGAGTGTCGTTTATTTTCCCGGAAAATACGCACAGAAAAGCTTATAACTGCAGAGTGCATAGGTGATTACAATTCCACTTCAATGGTTTTCCAAACAGTTGATAAATATTACCTGAGAATGATCTCCTAAATCAATTATAGCCTTTTATGTAGGGTATCCATCGATGAGTACGTGTGTGTCTTTTTATTCTATTCGAATTGGTATTTTCTTTTAATGGGTAAGGGGAGGGTGGGAGGAGAGCACATCTTGTTAAGTTTTACTTTCTCTTTTATTTATGCTGCAAACTTCAACGGGAGGTGCTCAATCTACATGCTAGCGTGTGTTTGTGAGTGAACTGCAAAGCAATCACGTTTCTTATTCTCAGCATTTTTATTTTCTGATGAATTGTTGGCCTCTTGTCAGCGCTTTATGTTCATTCCTCCCCTCTGCCAGCATTTGTTTCAATTTTAAATATTTAATTCTATACTGTATGAATGTATGTATGCATGTGCACATTTCAATGACGCGAAGGTTTCAGCAAGAAACGCCACATATCATTAACATCATGTCATGGAAGCAAATTTCTAGATATGTAGCCTTTATTTTTTCGCTTTGCTGCTGTGACTTCATAGGTCAATTTTACAGAAAAGAAATAAACAGCTGTTTGCCAAATGGGCACCACTGTCATGCGAGCTAGAGTTGCCATGTCATTAAATGTCATGAAACAGCCCTCAGTACGTAAAAAAAAAAACTAAGACGGCTGAGCTCAACGGCAATTTCTCAATTTTAGGTAATATTACATTAGTTTTGGCTATGCTACATTTCAAAATTATGTATACTAACTTCAACTTAAACAAACAACGCCTCTTTAAAGACGCCTATTAAAAGAATTAAAAATAGTACCAGAAATGATCTGATCTAAAGAATTCTAAAGAGCAGAAGGAAAAGGTAGAAGAAGCACTCTACCCGCTATGATGTAGCCAAATTTCTTGTTATTCACTGAGCACACTGCCACGCATAAACGTTTGGGCTCGTTTTCATTATCAATTGCAATGAAGCGGCTGATAGGCCAACCTTGAAGGTTGATTAAACTGCGAAGGGAAATATTTTGACCCCCTAGACGGGCTATAATTTGATTTCTGCAGCCGATGCCCCCTTGCAGCCCCCGCCCCAGGAGCCACCCCTGGAGCCGCCCCTACACTTGAGGCGTATAAATCCTGTCTGTCGTTTGATGACTGTGTGCAAGAACGAGGCAGTTTTTGTATCTGGCTGCGTGCTTCATTTCGTCGAGCTCCGTTTCGTTTTGCCTGCTCTTTGCTCTCCGCTTTGCCCACCAACAAAAATACAAATAAATAAATGAAAAGAAGAGCCAAAACACAACTCTGAACTCGCTCTGCGCTTTGTTTGCCTGGCTCTTCTTCCCCTTTCCCTTCCCCCGTTTTCGTCATTCGCCGTGTGTATGTGCGATGGATGAGCGAGTGTGCTGTGTGTGTGGGTTCGCTGTTGTCCGCATGTGTGTGCGCCTTTGTACATTGAACTCAAAAATTCGAACTCGAGGAGAAAAGAACGAGTGAGAGCGAGTGGAAAACAAGTCGGGGACCCGGCCCACTCCCTCCCTCTTGTGCCCTAGTCCACACACCTCATTAACACCCTGAAAGGGAGTCCGAAATCTCGCATCCGTCGTCTCCATCCCATCCAAGAACCCTTCAATCAGGTTGGTTTCGTCTGCTGACCAAGGTGTCGTCACAAAGGACGAACAAATGATTTCGATCAAGGATATGCACCCAATATCATTTTATCGATAAAGGAATGGTTTAGTTCTTCAGAATGAAATTTTAAAGAGGATGACCAAACAGTTTATTAATAATGTTAATTGGCATATTGTGTTGTCTCAAATAGGATTTATTATTGCTATTAAATGGCACTCAATTCAGTGACGATTTAAGGATTCTACAGTTATTGGATAACCCAGATTTTAGTCTCAAAGTATTATATGGATTTTGTGTCAGATAATTTGTGTGTCTGATATTTAGCGAACGGCAACCCTAAGGGATCGCTGCATAGCATAGATTTTGATGCGTTATTAGTATTTAGTAGTCTTGCTTGACTCTTTTTTTTTTTGTTCTTTTTTCCCGCTTTATTTCCTGATCATTACGATTCTGCCCCGATCTTGTACAGATCGTACTTGTACTGTGATGACAAGATGAAGTTCCGCGCACTGATGCAAGATCCGCTGTACATGAAAGAGTTCCAGGCTATTGTGGCCACTCTGACCAAGCTGGCGAAAGATTGCGTGATGATTCTGGGCTCTCGGCAGATGCATTTCATCGTAAACGAGGATCAGAGCTCCTCTGCATCGCCCTTGGTTTGGGCGGGAATAGCAGCCGAGGAGTATTTTCCGGAGTATCGCATGGAGGCTGCTCACCCGGAACAGGAGTACATAGTTCTGGGCGTGTCTTCGGCGAACCTCGGAAGAGCTTTATCTGTGCTTCGCGGTGGAGGCGTTAACAGCTGCAAATTAAAGCTGCAAAGGATTCAATTTCCGTGCATTTCGGTAATTGCCTCGGTGCTTACGTCGTCTTCAACAGAAGCTCGTGAAGTGGTGCACGATGTTCCAGTGACCATAATCCCGTGCAGCGATTGGTCTGCCTACGTTGTACCAAGAGTTCCACCCTCGCAGTTGGCTTTAGGCCTACCAAGCCTAAGATTGCTCAAAAGTCTCATTGACAAGCTAAAGAATATATCACCCAGCCTTGAGTTCCAGGCCAACTTGGACGGAGAGCTCAATGTCATAGCCACCTCTGAAATGTCCACTGTGACTAGCCGATTTCAGAAATTACTAATTCGAACTGTGGCTGGATCCCAGCGGGAAGCGTCCTGCTCTGTGGATTCAAGAAAAGCCTCGGCCTTCTTCGGAGCACTGCAACTCCCTAATGAGGAACTCAGTATTGGGATTGACCGTGAGCACTCCATTCATTTGCAAATCGACGTTCGACAGGATGTTGTTCTGCACTCTATTCTGCCAGCTGTTTGTATGTAGATTAAGTGCTGGTTTGGTTAGCTAACTTGTAATAAATGCGATTGATGTATCGCCGTGTAATAAAAGTTCATCAATACAAAATTCTTTCCCAGAAGAAATCGTCGATGCTAATTGAAATTATCTTTTTTCCGCTCTTATGTTCATGTGTTTATATGGCGTTATCGCTTAACTAAATATCTGCTTTACAACTAATGCAGCATTTTCCTTTTTGGTAAACCTAGCATGATTTCACGCGTTCTACGATATTGTGCGGGTCATATGTACATGTATGTACATACATATATGTTTGTGTTTGTATCTTTTTATTGTTAGGAGACGGCATTCAAAATGTACAAGGACATTCTACCTTACCTTTATTATTATTAGGCATATTATTATATGCCTAAACTTTTAAAATTGGATCTTTTTTTTTTTTAATAATGGAGAATATTACCGGCGCTAAATACATACATTTAATTTAAAATTTAAATCGTTGGGATAGAACCATTTCGGCAATTAATGCATTGCTTGAATGTGGAATTATCTGTGCTACCCTGTGTTGTAAAAATAAAAGTAGTAATAGAAGCAATGCTTGCCTAAACGATATCGGGTCTTATCGGTGAACGAAAGTTAGGGCGGCTCTTTTTATCGTTGCTCTCCGCTGCCTGTTCAAAATTCGTCAGCAGCCGTGGCCTCATTTCGCGTTCTCTCCGATGCTTTCTGTTTCACTCGCTCAGCTGCATTGTCACTGCACTTGCATGGGTGTGTGTGTGTGTGTGTGTGGCGGAGAGAGCGTGTGTCCATGCATATTTATTATTTGGCATTACTGGTTTTTAATTTTGTTATTTCGAAAACATGCACATGCTAACAACTGCACTGGACTTGTACTTACGACTCCCTATGGTACATTTGTACATAAGAAAAAAATATGTATATATTTACGTACGTTCCATATAAATACATTTGTAATTACTTAGATTTATGTTGGGATTTTCGGCAAATGTAAACATAATCAATCTGGCTATCCATAAAACTATCATTGCTTCATAGTAGTTTTAGTATAGCTATACTAGTAGCTTGGAACATATCTTGGGAAAGGTGTTGGGGATAAGGAACAGTGGAAAATTTTCGATTTTTCACTTTTACCATAAAGAAATTCGATTGATAGTTTTATTTTTCATGTGTATTTTAAATTTAAAATATGCAATAGCATTACATATTAACGCACAAAAAATCGGTCTTTATGGTCTTCTGTGTTCGCTTTTGGGGTTTTCCTCTTTGCTTCGTTTTTCGTACACACATAACGTATGTATGTGTACATAGGCATATACATATACATAGATTTGGTTCAAGGAGGTCAGCTGAGTGCTTTGGGTAAAGCGAGCGACCCTATTAGACTTGTAATTGTAAATACCTCATGCGTTTTCTCCCCTCGTCGTTCTCAAGCGCACGATCAGCTGATCGCAAGGGGTGATGAAAGCCGAGACAGGTATACGCGCAATAGTAGGAAGAAGAATAAATGGGACACTGCGAAGAGAGAAGTATCTCAAATAGATAAGCAATGAGTACCACTCAATTTAATATGGCCACCCGGCCATTTTGAGTAGAAGCAAATAATTAATTTAAATTTACTTGTATATTCTTATGTTTAATTAGGATAGCGCAATGACACACATGCAAGGCGTTGGGCTAAAACAAATCCTGTAAGAGAGAGGGAGAGCGGTTTGTTGACCTCATTCTTGAGGGTTGAGTGACCTGTTTTCGAGGAGTTTGAGTGATTTGTTTCCAGTGTCCAGGTGGCTGTTTATCACAAATGCATTGTGGCTTTTGTGTGTTTCACAAAAACCATAGCAATATCAATATTGGTTTGAGAGCAGTTGTGCTCTTACACTTAAGCAGCCTGTTCACTCTCTTTCACTCATTCGCTCTCAGTCGCCATTTTTCGCCGAGCGATGACTTTCGGCCGTTGCTGGTACTGTTCCATTCGTGTGTTGAATTTGAGTGCGTGCACAGCTGAAAGCTAAAATGCAAACGGCTGTATTTTCTATATACTCGGGGCCACTGGTACATACAAACTGAAAAGGTGCTGCTGTTTATATAATTCCGTTGGACCGAAATTGAAAGAAATCGGATTTCTCGGTGGACGGGGAATGCAAATCGCTCAAATTGTGTATGCATTAGGTTTTGCTCATCGCTTTGATTTTGTTATATTGTTGTACATACTGAGACTGATTTGTTCTTCACCTCCGTATTTTCCTTATTCTGTAAGCTTTAGTGTGTGTGTGTATATGTGTGTGAGTGTGTACGTCGTCATGCGCTTGCCCTCGCTCTCTCTCTTTCGCGCACATGCAGCGGCGTGTGCTCCCTTTTGCGTGTTTCTTTTCTTTTTGTCCCATTCCTCAATCGACTTTTCATTTTTTAATCGATCCTATATCGTTGAAAGCCCACGAAATTAAGTTGAATAAAATGCAGAATATACAGTTAACCGAACAATTTTCACTTCCTTTTTCCGCCGTGGAAAGTGCATCGAAGTGGTGTGTATAACTGCATATAAAAGCCGTGCACATGTTTACATGTACATATGTATAAGTCGTTGTGTAAAGTCTGAAAATATGTAATATAATTTACTCGATTTGAAGTTTTCCCCCTTCTGAAAACAATGCTCTTTGCTGACCTTGCCTCTAAACACTCAGGTATTTTCCGTGGGGCTGAAAAACCTTCAGAGTTAAATTGTTGCATGTCTAGTTCTACCCAACACCCACTCGATAGGGTTGCCAGGTGTCGTGCTATTGCGTTCTTATTGTCAGTTTATTCTACTACGTATTTGTTACATTATCGGATTCAACAGAGGCACTGCGCAAAAGTAGTGTTTATCTAACTCTAACTTGTCTTTATGTAAAAATGTTTACAATTTTACAAAACTCAAATATTTTTGGCTCATATCACATATCGAATGTTAAAAGTTGCTTTTATATTCGGTTTTTGAACACTGTCTTTCGTGAAACTTAGTACATTTCCCTCGCATACTCAGATGTGCGTAGGCGTGTTTCGTAACACGTTGGAAAGAGACAAAAATAAATGTCGACCTGACGCGGAAACGGAAAATGGGGAATACAGAAAACTTGCTAGGGCAGCACTATTGGGACCAGCTTCGATATGCCCTCGACTGCTTCTTTCCAACGATATTTAAATAAGTTACAAACAATGCCAATTGCACAGCACGCACAATGCATAACGAAAAGGGGAAATTAAGAAGGGATGAAGAGGAGGAGGTAGGGCACAGCTGAAACAGCCACATGAGCACACAAGTTGTTATCAATTATGCTCGGGCCAGGGTTGTCATACTGTCGTTTAGCTGACAAATTTAAATCGTTACAAATGTAGTTATTGGAAAATTTCCTTACTTCGATTTCTAATTGGAACTTGCTTAAGTATAATTTAATGAACAAGAATTTAAAGCAGGGTGTTTCGATTTAGCAATGGCGCTTATTGCATTAGCGGACACAAACTATGTGCAATGTACAATATGTGTGTTGCGGTATAGTTTTTGATTTTAATGGGTCTGGACAAACTTAAAAGTTAAGTATGTTGAATATTTATAGAAAATGTATTTATATACATGTGTTTTTATACCCGTGAGTAATGGGGATGCTTAACTGCATTATGTTTGTTGAGTTTGCTCTGTTTAAGACCCTTGACGTTTCACGTTTTTAACTTCTAATAAAAGGCGACAACAACCGATGGCAGCAACCACAAAGCAATCGCCATATGTTGGAGCTGCCACACGCAAAGCAACGCGCTTGGCACACATACAGGCACAAAGCACTCACACATCCACTCTCGTGCATGAAGGCGCTGCCATTTGTGGCCTCGCTTATTATTTTTCTCGTCTGCGCTTTACGGTGTGAAAAACTTGTGGGTCGGAGATACGAGTAGAGACTAATAAATGTAGATAGATTGTATTTTCTGGGTTGGGTGTTTGGAACGAGCGCACTGACTATCGTGGCGTAGGCATTTGCCGATTTCGGCAAATGTTCTCTAAACGATACTATCTTCATTCGTACAAAACCATTCGTATTACATCTGAACGATTCTAAACGATTTCAACCTGTGGTTTTTCTGAGGTTCACTGATTTCAGAAGAGGAGATATAAAAATGGGATATGCGACGTTAACTGCTTTGCTATAAAAAAAAAATACTGTATAAGTTAAATATAGACATACAATTATTAAAGGAAATTGGTGACGAGAGAAAGTTCGAATTATGTTCTGGAGAGATAAAAGTATATTTTTTGGATATTACAAATTACACATAGAGAATAGGTATTACGTAATATATGTTAAAAAATGAATAATCATTTTAAATTTAAAGCTAAAGTTTAATTAAAGTACAGAAAAACTATTCGTATTTATTAATTAGCTGTGAGAAATGGCACATTTTGTTACACGTCTCTAGCCAACAAAAACCTAATGAAAATGTTGTCTGTACAATTGAAATGTCGGAAACGTCTAATTTTTCACCAAACCAAAACCACCGTCGTCGTCTTTTTGTTTGTGCTGCTGGCTTCATTTCTATGGCCTTGAACTGAATTTGTTGTATTCGTATTTTTTTACATTTTTTTTTTGCTTGCTGGGTCACTTTGGCAAATGTTTGACGATTCGTTTGTATATTTCGTTACTTTATCGTGTTTGCCTGTTAAATTTGAGGGGAAATTCAAAATTTCAAAAGGCAAGTTGAAACAGAAAGCAGATTGTTAAAGGGCAAGAGTGTTGGAACTACGCACTATATTGTGTGCAAAAGCCGTCGGTAGACGGGGTTGTCGAGTACATTATGTGCTCGAAAAGGGCGCAGAACGGAGAATCTCGAATCTCATCTTTTTTTGGTAGGTGGAGGCAAAAGCAGAAAGTCTGTGCTTTGCTCGATTTGCTTCCATTCCATCTTCTTTGAAACGAGCATGGCAACTCACGCACACACGCTCGCAGAACTTGTTTCTCGCTCGCACACACATAGGAAGAAGGGGCAGATAGCCAACTCACACATGCACGGACACGCTGGGCATTACGAAAGACAGAACATAAACAAAACTGCCGAGAACAGCTGATTAACACAGCTGTGCGCGAGTGTTTGTGAGTGTGAGTGAGCCAGCGCTCATCTTTCCACTCAAAACATTCCGTCTCCTCTCGCTCTCTGTCTCTCTTTTACTTTCTACCTCGCTCGCGTGCACGTGTTGGTGGCTGCTGACGAACAGCTGTTAACTTATTTACAGTTTTTATATGCTGACATGAGTATGAGTGTGTTTCCGAGAGGTTGTGTGTATCTTTTCCTAGGTGGTGTAAATTCTCCATTGTTCACTTTTGGTGCCTAGTTTCTATTGCTCTTCTGTGGTGGCTACATGGAATTTTCCCGTTGTAGTTTAATATTAAAGCCTATAAAACTAAGAATTTGTGCGGAAACAATATATCTATTTTAAACGAGTCAATACATGAGGTGTTTTTTAATTTATATTTGACCGTTTTTCGCACATATATTTAAA